GTCTTTGCTGTCGGTCGGTGTTTCATATACAAGCTTTCAAGCAGAACGTTTAACATGTGACGTGACATGAGTGACATGTGTATATATATATACACTTTTACATATGAATACCAAGTTGCAGCACAGGGATATCCTCCTGACCCGCGCACTTTAAGTGTATATATATATATACCCTTCGGTCATGTCTCTATTTCAATGAATTTGATTTTGCACCCTTCAATCGGGTTGCCAAGGTTACAACAGTCGCTGTTTGCCCAACAAACTCAGAACTTCTGGCGACCGGCGGAGAGGACTGCCGTTCACTGTTTGGCTGTGTTTTGCAGCGCTGCTTTCAAGTCAAATGAAAAGCGAGTAAAGCAAGACCTAAGTTATACAAAGACAGAATTGTTCCTAATAGACATGCATTGTTTGCAATGTTGTTCTTGTGCCCAAGCACCTGCCACAATTCCAAACGACCAACCGGCGAACTGTAGAAGTTACGACCAGAGTGAACCAATCCTTGTATGCCTCCGTTTGCATCTCCATGCACCGCCATGTGTCTATTGTTTCTCCTTTTTTACATCTCAGCATCTCCCTTTCACTGTATCACTTCAAGAATCTCAGATGCACTTCATCATTCTGAACATTTTTGCTGCCACCTTAGACCTTGCTTAAGGTCCGAAGTGAACGAGCTGAACCGTGTTGTTTTGGCATCCTTTTCTTGCCCCGTAGCTGTCCTTGGATCCTTCAGTGGAAGCCTCCACCGACCCGAGTAATTCGTGAAACACCCTCCTGAAAAGAGCTCCAATGGTTTGCCAGATAAAATGGTGTTTGAAGACGGTTACCGAATCAATGATTAAGGACCTTGAGAAGGTCAAAAAACCTGTCCTTTCACTTTAAATAATCAAAGGCTCACTCTGAGCCAACGAGGTGAAAGAGCAGGGAACAGGGGTACATAATGGTCTGGTGCAGAGCAAACTGGGTGGTTTGTGTCATGAAGGATCAAAATGACACCTTCAGAAAGGGTGAGAAGAACTGCCGTGGTCAAGCGGTGAAAGGATATATAATATAACCCACACTTGCACTGTCAGCTGGGTATGGCATCATTTTAGCAACTTGCAGAAACGCATGCTTCTGAAGTCGCCAGATTTGCAGACTTGTATCCGGCCAAGATTTAAACACAAAGTAGAACTCGATTCATGTATTTACAATGCACGCAATGGGTTGTATATGTGGATTTTGCTGGTGTCTTCAGTCAGCAAACTTCCAAGTATGCAGCAGGCCTGCCATAAGTTTTGGACTGAAGTTCACCTCAGCTAGGCTTCTATGTTCCACTTTTTAGCCGAGGGTCTAGTGACAGAACATGTGCTTGCTAGAAAGGTGACTTGTTTGGATGTTTGGAGGCAGAGGGCAGAGTTGAGGTGGGGCAAATCGTAGTTCTTGCCCTTGCTTTATATAATGTTTCACCAAATGACTCCGTCAGCTGAGTTGATCCTTACACATCTGCACGTCTACTTGAATCAGCAGTTCATGTCCTAATCCTGTTCTCGAACCTCTCATTTCCTTCCCATATCATATCTTTTCCATGGAAAACGATCAACACGTACGTAACATGAACGATAACGCCACCTGGACTCATACCTGAAACGATCGACACCAAGGTGTTTTCAACCAAACATTTATTCTAGAGATTTCTAGAGACATTTTCAAGAAATTTTCCATGAAAGGGCTTCTTCTGATTCTTAGTCCGTCGATGCACTCACAAAGTCCAAGACAATGTTCTTCAAGGAAGCTGGAAATCGCACAATTTTGATTTGTTACACTCTCTCGACTCTTGTTCCAGTCTTCAGGAGGAAACAAGTTCACGCGCATTGCCTATTTCATGAACATCTCCTCTTCTCAGCTCCAGCTAGATTTCAAGTAGTGTTTTTGTAGCAGGTGATGCCAAACATTACACCCTTTATACAATGGATGGACATTCGTTAGTGATTTTTTATTTTTTCATGCAGTTTTTCAGATTTGCTTTTTGTTTCTTTTGCTTTTGTTGATTTTGCTGCTTTTCTGCTTTTGGTGTTTGCCTTTGCTTTTGCTTGTTTTTCTTGCATTTTTTGCTTTGGGTGCCGGTCTTTGCTTTGTTTCCTTTGCTTTTCTGTTTGTGTTGCTTCTGTGGCTTTTATTGTTTGTTCTGTTCCCCCCTCCAGTGCCAAAAACATCTGCACTATTTCCTCCACTTCTAGCGCCTGCCACGAAAACTGACTTGTTTCGAATGTCGACCATGCTGCACTGCACCAACAACTTACTGTGTATGTATGTATTGTATTATAATGTAGTGTTCTGTTATGTAATGGTATTTAATGTTACGTTTTGTTATGTAATGTTATGTCATGTAAGGTTATGTAACGTTATGTAATGTAATGTAATGTTGTGTTATGTTACGTTATGTAAAATTTTGTAATGTTATGTTATGTTATGTAATGTTATGCAGTGTTATGCAATGTAATGGTATGGTTGTATGTAATGTAATGTAATGCAATGTAATGTAATGTAATGTAATGGTATGCAATGGTATGTGATGGTATGTGATGGTATGTATTGGTGTATGTATTGGTGTATGTATTGGTGTATGTATGTATGTCTTTATGTAATGTAATGTAATGTAACGTAATATAATGGTATGTATATGTATGCATATGTATGTATTATATGTATGTGTATGTATTTTTTTTGTCCGGCTCTTTTCCGCAGTGGAAGTTCGATGCTGGTCTCATGCCAGCCAAGTTCGGATGTCGACAGAGCGGGGCCTCGAACACGGCGCTCGGAGCTTCGTCGTGAGCTGGATCTGACCATTGCTGTACCTCGCTCTGAGGTGGCACTTCTTGCACTCCAGGAGGTTGCCTGTTCTTGACATCTCGTGGGTTGGATGTCCCAACCAGAGTGCTGGATCCAAGGGTCCGTGGTGGCATACCTCCCCAAGGAAACGGTGGAAGGTTTCTTCCCCAGCTCTTGCCAATACGTATCCTTTGCAAAGGTCACAACGCAGGTACGCTTTGTCGAGCCGCAAATGGTGCGTGCCCGTCTGCACCTCCCCCTGGGCCTCCAGGAGGTCGTGAATGACCTCAAACCTGGTCTTCTCGGAGGCTTTGCCTGGCACTGCCTGGGTGCAGGCGCTGTTGAGGCCATCTTTGATCTCCTTGAGCATGGATTTGGAGTGGCAACGCTGTTTGCACTGGCTGCATTGGACGCCAGACCGGAAAGCCACCCATTGATGGCCGTGGGCATTTGGCTGAGCCAGGAATTGCTCGGGAAGTGCCTTCTTTTGGTGGAGGAGAGGCACTTTGTCCTTGTCTTGCAGCACCTCCTTCTTGTGGAGGAAATGAGCCTTGTCTTTGAGAAGAAACTCCATTCGTCTGGCTGCAACGTGCATGATGTCTCGGGTGTCCTCGTCGATGTGGGGTTGGAGATCATGATTTCCTCAGGCCTGGCTATGAGTGCTGCCTGAGTGGCTTTGGCTTGTGTGTCCTGCTGGAAGGCTTTGCGGTTGGGATTTGAGTCCATCTCTTTGGTCTGGAAGAGCAGGAGTTTGATTTGCGCAAAGTCCTCTTGTTCCAGTCCTTGACTGAGGTCTGGGAATTTCTCGTAGGCAGCCCATGGGTTCCATACATTCCAAATGGCCTGGTTGAAGACAGCCACGTGGAGTTTGTCCGTGAGGTGACATGTGCTCGAGGCCGTAGAAGAGGGCCCGGAGCCTGCCCTGGGCAAATTCCTGTCAAGGATCCAACTCTTTCCTTGGTTTGGATGTGATGGATGCAAATGGCAAAGGCAAGCAAACCTTTTGTGTCTGGGATCTCTGCAGGTTGGCGCAATGGCCAAAGAGACGGCATGGTGTGCAGGTAGAGCACAGGCTTCCAAGGATTCCCAGAGGCCTTCTCCATTGAAGGTTGCCATGCCACCATCTTGGATGTAAAAGATGGACTGAGTCATGCCCCTATTCCAAAGCTCTGGTTCGGTTTTACCCGGCAATGCCGGGACCTTGCCGTCCCAGAAGGTGCGTTCCCACAGGAGGTAAATGAAGGTGAGCTCGACCCCACACAATGGACATTTGCCTTCTTGGCCGTGAAAGGTGCCCTGCTGGAAAGCTCGCAGAGCTGTCTTGAAGCGATCGGTGGAGATCTTCTGGAGCGTGTTTCTGACAGTCCAATCTAATGGCCTTTCCAAATCGTGGCAACCATGGTGCCTTGTCAATCTGAAGAGACGTTGCCAGCGAAATTCCTCTGGGATGGCTGTCTGGAATGCCACCATAGCCCGTTCTTTTCCAGAGCTTGCCATTGGAGATGTCGAAATCATAGTCAAGGAGGTAGGCTTGAAGTGCTTGCAAGAGCCCAGTCACTACCTGCCACCGGTATTTGGCTTTGAGAAGTACATCCAAGGCCGAGTTCCAGCTGATCCAGAAAAGATGTTGGGCACTTTCATCAAAAGCATGAAAGACCTTCCATACCGTATGGATGTGCTGGAGGATGATGGAATCCCCGCGATCTGGCTTGTTTGGATGCATGTCGAAAACGACATCAACTGAGCCCGACCGCTGCAGACGAAGACCTCTTGCCGCCATCACTCGGATTTGTTGCCTCCTTTGAGGGCGAATCGGTTGGCTTGTGCGCCCCAGGTCATCACCGGATGGACAGCCCCATGGTGCAACCTTTACTTGGTTGTTGGATTCAGCTTGAGGCGCCTCATGATTCCGGCCCTGCCTCTGCCTTTCAAATATCTCTTTTTGATCTGTGTGATCCTTCGTCGTCTGGAGTTGGTCGCATCAATGCCCAACAAGTCACGGAGGACGTTGTGATGCTGTGGATCTCCGGCCTGGAGGTTGCTGTCCAAGGCTTTGGCTGCCTCCTTGCTGCTGGTGATGAAGCCCGCTTTGTCCGAGTTGACTCGTAGACCTGCGGCTTCAAGGTGACGTTTGAGTGTTCGACGGCTTCTCGGGCCACATAGTCAGGGTCTCTTCCTTTGATGTCATAGGAAACGTCATCCACCCACTCTTCAGCTGAACAGCTGGATGCTCATGGACCAAAGCTCGAAGCGGCCGAAAGAGCCAGTTTGGCTACTGCAGGTGCTTGAGGACACCCCTGAGCTTGTATGAGTCTGGGACCTGTGTAAAGATCCAGCGCCAGCTTCAAGTGCAAAGGAGGATAGTGCAATTCCGTGGCTGGTTCAATGAGTTGGTCCAGTTGCACAGTGTCGTAGAAGCAGGTGAGGTCTGCTAGACATGTCACCGTGTGGATGCCTTGGTGTTTGCCAATTTCAGCTTTGA